AAAGAGTGCAAATCAGAAGATGCTACTTGCAAGATCTCTGAGTCTGATCCCGAGGAGTTATCAGATGAAGCAAGTGCTGACACCTTCTATGGAACTTCTCCTCCTAGTACACCCCGCCAGATGAAGCGTATGTCAACAAAGCATCAGAAAAATAACGTTGGGAGGCCTGCTAGCCGCTCCACTTTGAAAGGTAGGTGTGGTGTTTTGTTTTTTTTTTTCTCAAATGACCAAAAAGTCATAGTAGTAGCCCTTTGTTACCTGATGGAGGAGATATACAGAAGATGGAGCCAGATACTGAGGTGTGGTGAAGGATAGGAGGCAGCTGTCATAATCTGCAACAAGGGAAGAGTCTTTTGTGTATTAGAAAAGAAAACAAAATTGCCATGAGGGTGATCAAACAGTGAATAGTTTGCCTGAGAGGTGGTTGTGTTATTGAATCTCCGTCTTTGGAGGTTTCCAGAACACAACTGGATAAAATCATGAGCAGTTCTGAAATACTCGGCTTTGAGCAGGAGGTTGGAAAAAATGACCTTCAGAGGTATTTTCCAGTCAGTTTTTTTTCTGTGATTCTAAGGTGTCTCTAGTAATGGTGTAGTTGCTTCTCTGCCCCAGTTTTGTGTTCTGAAGCACTTCACAGTCTGTTTTATAGAAAAATAGAGTTTTCAGTGATTACTCTTTAGTGTCAATAAATTAAATTGTTACCACTGTTTACTTCTTTTGATGCTTTAGTCATAAAATAATAACTGAGAAAAAACAAAAGATACTTGATACGTGTTTTTCTAATGTTACTAAGTAATGATATCTAATACTTAAATAAAACATTTTTAGCCTTAAGTATGAATTTTAAGCTTTTCTTTCTTTAATTTTTAGCATGTATAGAATATGGTGATTGCTTGTTGAAAAGATAATTTTAAAAAACATGCAGTAGCTACATCTTAGCAAGCTGTCCTTCCAAGAAAAAAGGAAAAAATGTGCAATTTTAGTAGTTTTGCTGAGCTTGTGATGGGTGCAAAAAAAGCCATTTTTAAAGTTTGTATGTTCGGTATTTTCATTCAGAATATACCTAGGTTTGGTGGTTTTTTGAGTGTTCTTTTAAAACAAACAAAAAAACCTGCAACAAACCAAACCAACACCTCCCCCCCAACTATGTCAGACAAGGTTATTTACCAGAGTTGTTAACAGCAGCTTTACTATTGCCAGTTAATGTTTTGGAAGAAATTTTTAAAATTGCTTCACATGAAACAGGAAATGTTATCACAGAGTGCTATTACTTGCAAGGATTACATTTTCAAGGTAGAGTGTAG